AACACGATGACTAAAAAAATTCTACTTAAAAAAAACGCCAAATAACACTGGGGTATACCTGAACGATATTAACGATAACAAAAGATGTATAGTTTACTTGGAGGATGGAAAAGTTGGTTTCCACACCTACATACAAAAGGCGGAAAAAACCTACAGGTTTGTTTCACATGACTTAAATGAAGATGATGACCTGAAAGAATTAAAAGAAATGAAAGAAATACACAGTACAGAAAGAAAACAAGTTTATAAAATGAGGGGGACAAGATTTCCCCTCTTTCTAGTGGTAACGGCGTCAACAGTAATGCTAAAGGAGCTGGCCAAGAGTAAATGCTTCCTGTACACGGTGGTGGCATGGAAGCGCTATTTCAACAATAAGATCATAATACAGTGCCACCGCTTTCAAGCGTGGGGGCACGCGACAGCGAACTGTCGTGTTCCTCCAAGCTGTGAGAAGTGTGCTGGAGGACACTTCACATGAAAATGTACAATGGATAAGAGCCAGCCCGCAAAATGTACCAACTGCAAAGGGGCCACACAGCGAATTCCATTGATTGCATAATCTATCAAAAAAAGCTAGCACAAATTGAATCAAGACAGTATGTAAAACCAGCCCCCCTATATTAGGTACGTTGCGACGCCGCCACCACGAAGAAACGCGTGAGTTCGTCAAACCGCAGACGAAATCAGTGAAAACCAACAAAGTTCGAATTACATCAGGCAGTTTCCTGAATTACCATCAAGAGGAAGACAACAGCAGCAGTCCAGATAGTCTCGCCTGCACCCGAAATACAAACACAAGAGCAACAAATAAGAAGATAGTACGCAACTGCAGTTCCCGGGAGCATGGGGAAGTTCACGGTGCGGCAGACGACTTTTCAAGCACTGTCCAGTATCATGGATTTGGACTTGATGCTACGGAGAGTCAAACTACTGACAGATAAGCTTGAAAATTGCAAAAGAGAACTGGAAAAGGTCGAGATATTTTATAATTTCTGTCAAGATATCTCGAAAATTTTTAGTAGCTTCTTGGAACGCAAATGGTATTGGTAACAAAATTCCGAATCTGATAAATTTTCTGACGCGGCATAAAATTGATATTATACTCCTTTGTGAAACGAAATTGACTAAACGCGATAACCTCAAGTCCGCGGGTACAGCACCATTAGGCAAGATAGAGACGGCAACAGAGATGGCGGAGTGACCATCCTGATAGGGTCCAATATTGCCACACTCACAAATCGATACGTAACATGACGATCGAAAACGTGGACGGCGGCACGCACATCATCGCAGTTAGACCTTTGAACGGTTTCACCGCGGACTGTCTTGATAAATTGGCGAACCGGGGCGGGCACGGCCTGATCATCGGCAACTTGAACGTATTGCCATTGCAATAACGGGAACGGCAACACCCTGTTTGACTATGTCAATAACAACGATGTATCCCTGGAGTTTCCGAATACTTCGACGCACTTTCCAAACAATGATACAATACCAACCACCATCGCCATAGTCATCAACAAGGGCGTGACCACCTCCATGCTGCCTGTAGGAGCTCACGTCCGACCACAATACGATTTTAATAAATTTGCGTGGTGTGTCAAGCGAGAGCGCCGCGATTGAGGTTACATTCTACAAAAACGCCAACTGGCCGATTTTTCGCCAGTTCATCAATGTCCGGCTTGAAATAAATAGCAATATAAATAATGTTGGTGACCTGGAAAGTGCTGTGGACGTATTCACGAGCATCCTCCAGAAGGCCAAACGGGGAGTTGACAAATTATAAAAATTAACCCGTACAAAGAACAACTGGACGACGCGGTCAGACAGATAATACGAGACAAAAACCCATTATATCAGCTTTGGTAGGCTGTAAATTCTGACTCGTAACTCCATAATCACCGAAAAAAAATCGGAAATGGGGTGAAAAGTTAGATTCGTTAAATCCGCAAGACGGCTCTTTGTGGAACATGACAAAGCGTCTTAAAAACACGAGGCAGATCATTCCAGTCCTGTTGGAAAATAACAACGCATATGGCCACCAGACGACGTACATACGAGACAGGAAAAAAAAACAATCATTTAGCCAACAAATTTGAAAACATATACAATTAAAATTATCCGAATAGCATCGATCACAACTGCATCGAAAACACTATTTTGTAAATATACGGTCATGGAGTCCAAATTCCTATGACGCGACAGCAAATTTTAGTAACTATGACCACGCCCGCCAAGTTAAAAAAGCTTATCAAGACTCTCGCAAACAAAAAAATGCCGGGATCTGATGGTATCGATCATAAGCTACTTAAAAATCTGCCGAGAAAGGGTATTGTCCAACTTACACACATTACCAATGGCATTCTGCGCATGCAACACTGGCCTAACCAGTTTAAGTGTGCCGTGTTTTGTGTCCCATCTTGAAGCCGAACAAAAATCCGAAAACGGCTTCTAGTTACCGTCCGATATCTTTACTATCGGCTGTATCTAAGTTGGTAGAAAAGGTCGTCTTGAAGCTGTTAAACACCGCCTAAACAGTTGAAATCAACGATGATTTTCAGTTCGGTTTCAAGAAGGGACCACGACTCAGCAAATCGTTAGGATCGTCAATGATGTCAAGTGACAGTATAATCTCGACAAGAGCATCGTCATGGTGCTCTTAGATATTGAGAAAACATTCGATACTGTCTGGTTGCCCGATATAATTTATAAATTGCACCAGTACGACTTTCTGGGCCACTTAACGCAAATGATACACTCTTACTTGTACGGCCGAAGGCTGCGAGTAAGAGTGAACAAAACTCTATCAACACAAAGGGACAATAGAGCAGGCGCTCTGCAGGAGCGATTCTTGCACCAAAATTATATAACATATATGAGTCCCTACAGTTCCCAAATACCAAGATTGCAATGTACGCCAACGATACCGTCATATACTGCCACAGTCACCATGCTCAGGCTGCTAGGCAGCTGCTAAAGGCGCATATCGGAAGGACGTCGAAGTACTATGCCAAGTGGAAGGTAAAGATGAACGTGTTTACCAGAAAGAAAATTAACAATAAAATAATTACACCTATTTCGATGGTGGGCAACCAAATTGAGACGAACCAAGACGTAAAATATTTAGGCGTTTTTGGATAAAGGACTTTATTTTGGAAAACATGTTAACGGGACAATATGTAAAGTCTATTCTGTATCCAGGAGTTTATACCCCTTGATGGCGAGGTATAGCGGACTAAACAGAGATAATAAAAAATTAATTTACACTATGATAGTGAGACCGGCCCTAGTATATGCTGCGCCGACCTGGTGTTCTGCGAGCGTGACGACGTTACATAAATTGTAGTTATTGGGAAACAAATTCCTTCGCTTTATCAATAACTCAACAAGATATAAGGGAATTATGACCACTTTGCAATACATCGTACCAATAGTGGATTATATCAGATACCTCAAAATTTTTTTTACGAATTTAAACTCTCCGATTGTCCACTAACAGCCAACATTACACAAATAAGGGAGTATAACACGCCATTTAGAATAAAACACAAATTACCGTACCAATTTTCAGACAACATATTTAGATTACGCTCCTCTCACAAAAAATGGGAGGACACGCCCACATTATAAAAGGAGCACTAAAATTCCACATTTTTTCTCACCTTTCTCTTGTTTTCTTTTTGTTCATTTTTGTTATCAAAATTCTCCGCAAAATTTATTCCAAATTATATAAACCAACAATCAGTAAATTACGGCACATTATTATATGCAATAAATATCAATATGCCCAAATATAAGCGGAATTAGACATTCCCGCTCCCCAGTTTCGTATTGTTTAGAGGCGAGCTTTTTACTGTGCAGCTTGGCTTGTCGTAGCATTATCAAAATTCAAAATTTATTACAATTAACCTCTTTTTTATTTTTACATTGTTTAAAGTTTTTGTATCAACGGAGGCGCATGCTTTTGCATGCGTCGTTGATTATATATTTCAAGCGTTATTATACAATTTAAAATGTTTATATTTTAAGTATTGTGTTACTATTTAATAATTTTTCTGCGCCCGATCTAACAATTGATATGCTGAAGGGGCATATTTTTCCTAACGCGAAATAACAGATACCAATGATTTGTCTGTCTTCGTCTACTGAATGTAGAGGTTACTAATTAATGAACCTAGTGACAAGTTTTTCTCTCATACTAAATATTTTGTGAAAAAATAGGACATTTTAAAGAATATAGAATATATTAATAAAAAAATAATAAGTACAGAATTAATTGGAATAAAAAATAAAACAACTTGATGAGTTATACAAAAATGTACATCTGTCAGATGACAGACGAATCATCTAAGATGTAATTACTAATTTGTAGATACATTAAAAACAAGAATGACATCTCGAGAACAAAGGAATTCTTGCGGCCGTATTGAATTTCTAATAAGCTGAAAAAAACTCAGTACTATAGTAAAGTTTTAATTAAATACTAAAATTATTTTAATCATTTTAATAGATAAATCATAAACAATGATTAAAATAATCGTTGCTTATGACCCTACCATTGCTTACGATTAAAATTGTAAGGACAATTTTCAATTAATTTAATTATTCTTTAATTTCAAAGAAACCATTTGTTTTCTGGCAGTATTATATGTTATTTTACAGTGAAATTGCCTGCGTTCATATAATTACAACCCTACACTAAGTCACCTTTTATGTTGGTTATCACGGGCGTTAATGATCGCTATGATGTGGAAAATACGTATCTGCGAAATTATTAGAGGTGCGAGTTTGTGAGGTCTATATTATTTTAATGTATTTTTCACGTCATGGTGTTTGGTGAGTACAATAAAGGAGATAATAGGATGACTCAAAAAACAAAATGTTAGAAACATACAACTTTACAGCAAATAATTTTTAAACAAAATTTATTGCCACAGGGTGTTTTGAACTTACGACAAAAAACAAAATTTTAATTTACGCTGGTATAACACCATGTGTGTGGCCTCGTGGTGGAGTGGTAAGAACACTTGATTTTCGCCCAGGAGTCCCGGGTTCGATCTTCGGTCGAGGAGCTAGGATATTTTTAAACCAAAAATTATAACGGGGTTAAAATAGTTAAATCAAATTTTAGTGAATAAAACAAAAACTAATAGCAAAATACATTTATTCAAAATAGCAATATGTATGACACTCTTCTCTGGGCGGGGAAGCAGAGTAGTTAATTAGATAAATAAAATAAACTTAACACTAAATGAATCAGAAAAACAATGATCTATATAGCAATTGCCAATTCAAATCAGACGAAAATATCAATCCAACTTAATTAGTTGGTACTGGGCGTCACCATCTTTTTTAAGTTTAACATTATACAATAATTCTCCTTAGCTAATAAACAACTGGCTACCTTTAAAAGATGGAAAATAGGTAGTTATTTAAACAGTCATTGCTAATGAACCACAAATAAATGTACAGCATATCAAATGAATTTATTCTAAAGGCACCGGGCGGATTTGCAAGTTTTTACTAATTCAAGTCGAAAATTTATTGTTCACTCGCGAGACACTCAGAGTTTGATCACAAATCGTGGTGCCTAGGTATCTAGGGCTCGAACAAAACGATTTGTTAAATTTACAGACCTTCGCCTTGTCACAAATAAAAGGCGACGTGGCCTATTTCTTAATGTCTTCTTATTATTTTCTTTCTTTAACGATGAAGCCCCACGTTCGGGGCACCATGTCACAAATACAAGGGGATAATTTGTGTTTTTCGGATGTCTATGGGTTTATTTCTCCTTAGCTGGGGTATTATATTAAGATGGGCGCCACGTAACTTACTAACATGAAAAATAATCTTAGTTTTATTGTCTTAGTATTTGATCGTAGGAATGTAATTTTCTCAAAGTCGATTTTTGTTATACGGAGGTAAGGTAGCCTGTTCTTATCCTCGTTGAATATTTCGGTGTGCCTTTGGCTACTCTAGCAGAGCTGAGCAAGACTTTAGCAACTCCTCTTCGGCGGTCCTGGCTTGAGAGATCTGTTTCTACCTAGCATTTTGTAGCTGAAAGATATAATCAAGCGGCGTATGCTTTTAATTTAATTAGGGCAAGAAAAATTTGCACAGGGGGTCCCTGGCAATTTGGATTTTTTTTAGCCTGAAAATGACTATGAAATACTGAAAATATTTTTTTCAGTCAGCTTTTATGCAAAAATAAAATTGATAGAGGTCTCCGCTGGCTCTTTGCTTCCCTATAAGTGCTTTCTGAATTATGAAATTTACTTTTTCAGAGTCGCTGAAGGCCAAATACAATTTGAACAGAGGGTTCCTTACAAAATTGAAATTTACTGACAAGATTAGGTGATTTGTGAAAGTGTAAAAATTTCTGAAAAAATTGTTGAAATCCAACAGACCGGATAGCAAGTTGACCCACAACTCGGATACTACTAGCCTGCCAAAAAGTTCGGGCAAGACTTCACAACTTTTCTTCATAATGATTGATTTATACAACCAGAGAATTTTTTTTTAAGTCGGATTCAAAAAAATAATTGTTTGAGTAGTGTATCTTTTTATGCTTAATTTGATGTGAAGATAACACTGACGTAGTTTTCCACGAAACACCAAAACACTATATACTGCACTCGACGTAGGTTTCGCCAACCAAGTTGGCATCCTCTGGAGATGATTAAAACTAAAGTTATGCTAACAATCTACCCTATTTATACCTAAACTATTGTCACGGTTTACCGAACTGTCACGAAACTTTCATTAAATAAAATACATATTCTTAAAAGACACACCTAAATATAAAAATACAGCTAGCGGTGTTGTTGGTTCAATTTGAAGCAGTTTCAATTTTTTACGAAATAAAGATGAACTGCACATTTATCATAGTAGATGTGACTTTCCAGTTACAAGAGCCATTGTTGCAACGACTAGCTTCTTTTTTCATATCAATTTCAGGTAGATGGTCTATCATATATATAACTGTACCGTTGAAAGTGGATGTTTCTAAAGATTTTCTCTCATTACCAATTGTCCGTTCTCAGAACTACCTGGACGTTTTGCTGCCATTTGACCAACCATCTAGATCTGAATGTAAAACATGTAAAAATGACAGACTTTTATAATTGACTCCACTTGTCCATTGTAATGAACAGTGTAATATAAATTCTACTTTTTATTCTATTTCGAGTACAATAAAAAATACAATTTGTATTTTGCGTTTGTATTTGAAAACAAAGCTAAAGAAAACTGTATAGTATTATGTTAAGATCACATTACACTATGGTATTTCAAACAAATTAGTTCAAACTATCGATGCACTTGTACTCTCAAGCTATTCGTGTTGTGATGTAATATATGGACCTTGCTTTAATGTAGCTACCTCAAAAAGAATGCAAAAGAATCAGAATTCATGCACTATATTCCATTCATTCATATAAGCACATAAAAATTGTTTACATGGCCTCACAGAGCAACCCTTTGTTGACCCTCAGTCATGCATAGTTCTATAACATAGGCGCGCAGTGCATTATAACTACACAAAATGTATTTATATAATACCTCGCGCCTATGCTATAATTTTTATATGCTTATATGTAATGACTGCACTATAGGCTAATATGTGGTATTAGGCTGAGGGAACGTAATATATCCCTTAAAATAAAAAAAATTGGTTGATTAAATATGACTACTCCACTTATCTGTGTCCTTTCACAAGATTTTATTTTTAGCTGTTTCATGATATTAAATTTAGAATAGATGTACATAACATTAACTTAAGAAAACAATCACTCATTACATCTCCTGGGTATAAAACCACCCTCTATAGAAGGTCATTTTTGTTTGATGTATAAAAAATGAGGTACAATAAAATTCTGTGTCATAGAAACGAATTCCGCCAGACCAAGATGTTGATAACACCATCCTGGCAGGCTATAAAGAATACCTCAGTCTCTGACATAAGTCCGGCTGACAATAAAAAGGCGAATGTCAGCCTAGTCGAGAAACTTAGTGTTTCTATGTTCTTATAAAAGACACCATGCTGGGGCTTATTGACGTGCTGCCCAAACACATTTTTCCGTTCGGCAGCTCTAATTCGGGTTTTCAGGCGATTTGCTGAAGTTCATCAGCACCTCTTCGGCCACCTCATCTGGTGTCGAATGTAAGATTGAGGTTATCTGCGGCTCTTTTTGCTGCCTTAAACAATCCTACGACCACTTCTACAGTTTCATGATGGATGTTTTACAAACTGCTATTATTTTGCTATGCGTATACCCAGGCGTACGAGTCCTCGACCCCCCCGTTGATGGGGGAGGTAAAGACGAGAAACGGACGATCTAGGAATATTCATCATCTTGCGGGTATCTCTGTCTAATTGGTGCAACTCGTCTACCGTCCACTTCACTACTCTAAAGAAGTAAAGCAGAACCGAAACGGCAGGCAGGTTAGTCGCAGACACCTTGTTCTTCCTCGAAAGTTCGGGAGAAAAAATCTTTTTGGAGGCAGTGTCTGTACTTTCCGAGGAGACAATCTTTTATTTGTTTTACATCCTGGATGTGCTTTTGTTGTACACTTAGATATATAGAGCTCTCTCCGACATGGAGCAGTGCTCTCCGGAGGAATAAAGTTTAAGGTCATCCATATAAAAGATATGGGTAACCTTATGTCGTTGGGTGGTCCGCATTGGCATAAGGGGGTTTGGCGGAATTCAATAGATAAAAGCTGTAGTGAGATGCAGAAGAGTAGAGGATTCCAGGGCACCACCCTGAATGCCACGTGCTCTCTCGTGACCCGTTGTTATGGCGAAGCGAGTCCTCGAACAATAGCTCGTGAGAAGTTGTATCAAATGCCTTGTGGTAATCATCTAGGCCATTGGTAGATTTTATTTGTATTGCATAGAATCCTATATAACACAGCGGTCTACCAACAGTGTGTACTTGCAAGCCGTCATGTTCTTCTTAGCACCACGCTGTTCATGTAACTGCTGGAAGACCGGATCAACGGCCCTCAGTGTCCTGGCATACAAGATACGTGTAAATATCTTGTAGCAGGAGTTGAGGTAAGTGCAGTAATTCTTCGGGTCGGAAAGATCACCCTGTTTGGGGAGTACAATACGTCCCTCGACAAACCAGTTCCCAATCTGTTGCCCCTCGTTCAACCTTGTATTGAAAACTCGGCCAGATAACTGTGAATGGAAGGAAATTTCTTCCACCATCAGTTGTTTATGACATCTGGGCCTGGGCTAGCGAAGTTCTTAGTACCAACAAGAGCTTGTTGGACTTCTTCTGTACTGTTTGCCAGACACACTTCTGGCTTTTGAAGATGTCGACGGCAAAGGCTTCAAATGTGCGATTGCTGGAGTATCACTAGACGCATCGCACAGTGGCGCAGAACTGGAAAAAACGTGCTCAAAATTGCATTTTCCGATATTTTTGTTGACATCTCAAATGTAGCCATTATAATGCTATTGAGGTATATTGTCATTCCTATATATCTTAGAACACACATTAACTTACTTTGGTTGCAGTGGTGTTTCAAAAGTGAATGAAAGTGCAGACTATTTATCTGTTATTAATTTACAGGTAAATGTAGATATTTCTGCTCTTAAAGAAAAAACAGCGGTAAAAGATATGGAAATTCAACTAAAGGAGATTATTGTCCTCGCTTTAAGCTATAAATTGCATCCTGTAGTTATTTGTTATAATCCCTTTGGGGTTAAAAAAATCTACTTATTTAAATACCTTTATTATTACTTCAATTTTCCACTAAGCTGATGATATAATAAGGAGTACACGAGAGTGTCATAAATCCGATTTTAACGCATCGCTCACAGAGAACAGCCATTTAATGATTGGCTGCCTCTTATGGAAATGTAGGTGACTATGGTTAAACCTAGGCATAATGTAGGTAAGCTGTTATGTAACATACGGATAAATACAGAGTGTTCCGTTTTTACTGTTACAAATTGAAGCAGGTAATAAAACATGTAATTTTAAGACAAACGTTTTCTATACATATATTATGTTTCTATAAAAAAAAATCAATTTAAAATTTATGTTACAGACCAAAGTAGATC